GCTGGAGGGAGCGCCGCTGCTGGCTGGGCGGCTGCAGGTTGGGCAGCTGCGTCTAAAGCCACTGCAGCTGGTATCTCAGGAGCAACTGGGATAGCCGCAGCTGTGGCATTTTCGGTTTCCAGCGTGACTGCATCCGATTGGACGATTTCGGGATCAGCAGCATCAGGGATGTCGTCTTGAGGGTCAGCTTCAACAAGGGCAGCTGATTCTTCCTTCGAAATGGATGAGTCTGATGCCATGTATGGCGGTCGACCCATCTGGGAAGTAGTCCCCTCGCTGTCTGAAGAGACCCCTGCTGCTGATGCGATGGGTGAAGGTGTCTGTGAAAAATCATGGAAATGTTGTTGTTAAATATATCAAGGTTGATCATTAGAATCCTAAGTATTGCTGATGAGAGAACTTACTGGTTCTATAGGCACTGCTGGTAAAGATTGCCTCCTGGTCGGGTGCCTGGCCCGACCACTCCTCGGTACGGGAGGAAAAGTTTGCCTCCTCGTCGGGTCCTCCGCCCGACTGCTCATTGGCAAAGTGAGAAGTGGAGTAGGGGTTTGGAGAGGAAATGTCTCAGTCTGGACCAAAGGTACGTTTGAATGGTCGGCTGGGGGTGGCGTCGTTTGTGTGGTCGGTGTTACCAAGGTCGGTTCTGGTGAATGAAATGAGTGAAATCAAAGTTAAGATATAGTGAATTGGTTCACGGTTTTAAGAAAAATTACCTATTCGGGGTCGGGTCCTTGCTGATGTCTTAGTAGTTCCAAGGTCTGCTGGAGCTTGCTGGTCGGCCCCAGAGGTCGGGGGTGTTTGCAGCTGGGAAGCTTTCCTTTTTCGCATTGGAACACTAGATCCGATTCCTGGGGCGGCTGTTTGTTGTTGAGTACTAGTATGTCTAGCCGCCCCTAGAACCAATCCTTGGGGGGGAAGGAGTATGTTCAGCAACCGATCCTCATCAGGGGAAATCAGGGGCCATACAACCGACCACCATTCATTGAATGTATCTACAGTCTCAGGGTTGGAGCGGAAAGGAATATAAGAATTGGAAACTATATACGTGGTGAGCTGGGAGATATAAGAAGGAATTGAATTAGGTAGGACTCGTCGGTCAGGACTTTGAAAAATTATATGAGGACGAGCGACGGGTCCAGGGATACCTTGGCAACAGCCGAACTGACGCGCCATGAATTGAGGTTCATAATTAAAGGTGCAAAAAGTTTTTTGCCCTTTTTTATCAAGTTTTTTGCTGCTAAAAAGAGACCTGGGTTTGAGGGCAACGTCCCATGCAAAAGGATAAGTGGGATGAGGACAAGGCTCAGGAGTCGGAAGCGGATTTGGTGCCGGAAAAGGCCAAAAGTGGTCAGGAGCATAACCCGCATATTTTTTATACATAGAAAATCGAGAGTTACTGCGGGTATCTGTCAAAATTGTGGTTATTATTGGGTCGGAGGATTGGAGTTTATTGCGTCCTGAGCAGAGTCGGTTGAGGGCTAATCCCAAATGTTTTTCGGATGTTGACATAGTGGGCGGAGATCCTAAGTTGAACGCGTTGGGGAAGTAAAGACGGGACCAAAGTTCTAAAAACCAAAAAGGACCCGATGCGGCAGTGTCTAATTTTCTATTATCATTATCTGTTAAACGAAGGCTAACCCTGGTGAGTCCTTCAAACAGATTGGCTAAAAACAGGGTGCCAAGGGAAAAGAACCGACCTGACGCGATATGAATGGCCAGGTCGAGTTGAGAAGAAAGAACGCATTTAGAAGGGGAAACAATGACGTACCTACAAAGCCAAAAAAGAATAAAGGCAGTATGCTCCCGGTCGGTCACGGGGGTCCCTGGAGCCCCTTGCTGGTCGGTTGCGAACTTTGTCCAGCCCCATTCCTTCACGCCTTGTAAAGACCACCCTGGATGGTCTTCTGGTGGCTCCTGCCCATCTAGGGCTCCCATCACAGGGTCTTCACCCACGACTGGGAGATGCGCGATCATCGCCACATCCATGAGAGTCGGACCAAAGGGGCCCGACGGTAGAAGAAAAGTCCCATTTTCCGCATTCCAGAAGGCAGACATGGCTAGGAGCACCTTCTCGTGCAGATTGATCGGCATGGTGGACAATAGTATTGCTTGGTCGATTTTTTGAGATCGCCATTGGGTCTGGAAGTGTTCCGCTACTCGTCGATACCAAGAGCGGTAAGGATCTTTTGGGTCTGTGAGATGGGTTTTGATGCTGTCTCGAATGCGAACTGCTTGGTAGTTAGGGTTGTTGATAGCCAAGGAATTTCGGGATTCCAAAACTTCCCTCATCCGGTTTGAGTCTTCAGGAGTTGTGCAGTATGGGCGGATCGTCGGAGTTAGTACTTTCGAGGCTGAAAACGGGCCCTCTGGGAGGGTTCCGTCGAAGGGAAGGGCAGGAATGTATCGAGTCACCATGGTTAGAGTGGTTGAATTGTGATTCACAAAGGATCGTATTGCAGAGAAGGAAGTTAATCAGGAGTGTTGCAGTAACTGGTGCAGTTGCTAAGGAAATTTTTCAGAGGATAATGATTTATGAACTTCCAAACATCGATTGATAAATGGCGTTTGAAAGTCCCTCGGCGGCGGGCAAGTTGTTATGTATGAAATTTAGAATTAGGTTAAAAAGCCCAAGGTAAAAGAAAAATGGGCCTGACATTAGAGTTGGTTGAACTGGCTCAAGGAAAATAGGTTCATTTCTAAGGAAAGGCCTTCAGGACGGGAAGTCCGCAGGTCGGGAGGCCTTCGGGATGGGAAGTCCGCAGGTCGGGAAGTTCTACAGGTCGGGAGGCCTTCAGGACGGGAAGTCCGCAGGTCGGGAGGCCCTCAGGTTGGGAAGTTCTCAGGTCGGAACTCTGCGGCAGGACCAACAAATTGGATGGTTTGTTAGTCGGGATGTCTGTAGCTAATCCAAACAAGTCAGATGGTTTGCAAGTCGGGAGGATTGGCAGTCGGACCAATACGGTTGTAGATTGGCAGTCGGGCCTAAAGGGCGGAAGGTCTGTGGTCGGCTCAAAGAGTGAAATATAGGGATAATTTCGGTCTGCTGAGGACACGTGTCAGCAGGAGAAGGGTTGGAAGACGGTTGGGAAGGAGACGTTGTAACCGTTCGGGTGGCGGTTTTTCAGTACGGTTTCCCAGAGAATATTTAAGGATTTGGATCATCATTTGGCAAGGCATCTTCAATCAACTTCAACAAAGCAAAGTCAGATTTGGGGATCACCACTTTAAATTTCAGTCTTTTATTTTCCAGTTTATTTTCTGTACCATACAGTGTTTAGAGATTCCTAATATCAGGCACTAATTAATCAAGTTTAAGGATATTTTCTATATCTTTGAATTTTACTTTATTTTTGTTGAAAAATTACATCAACAATAATATATATGTATTACATAAAATAATATTTAATATACGATAACATCTAAATTGAATATATTTCATTCAAAATTCAAAAATTCCTCTAAAACTCAAAAAATCATTCAAGATCCCAAACAAACAACCATGATATATTTTAAACATTTTCATTTAATTTTAATCGATATACTTTAAACAACCATGAAATATTATGTAAAAAAGTATAAAATATACTTAGTACTAGTTTAAGATGAATATTTGATTTTTTCTTTTTCTTTTTTTACTTTTCTAATGATTATTTGATCTATTTTTTTTAATGAATATTTAAAATTTTTTGACTTTTTGACTTTTGTATAAAATATTTATTAATATTGTTTTTTAAGAATTATAATTCAAAATTGATGTTGAGAGAACAAAGTAAATTATTTTTTATAAAAAATAAATAAATTTTATAAAGTAAGAGAATAATGATTTTGATTGACATACAATTTGGTTAAATGATTCTTCTATGTACCATAGAAGCAATTGTAATTATTTCATCATGTGGAATGAAATAAAAAAAAAAAAAACTTTTAGTTTAACTTTTATTATCTTTAAATTTAATTTTTTATACTTTAAGGCTCGATTATTGTTTTATGACGAAATTACCCATTACACATTTGAAGTTTAAAAATTTAAATTTTTTCTTGTGGTTTGAAAATTATGTGATAATTTTTTATTTTTTTTATTTTACCGTTATAACACCATATCACTTTTTGAAAACATCGTAAAATCCTGTCTAGTTGGAGGGTACTAGGATTCCCGCATCATAATAATAATAATAATAATAAAAAAAAAACATCACTAGTCTTATACAAATTATTGGTTCCCAAATTCACAAAGATTTAGGTATGAAAATCCTCTAAAAATCTTGTAGAATTTTTCTCACCCCTAGTTTTTCTAAGGGTGTGTTTGTTTGGAGTTTTTTCTCAAACTTTACTTATTTATTTATATCATATCATGCAAATATAAATTATGAAAAAAATAATTATATCCGTTAATTCCATATTTGACTCCATAATTTACTCAATCAATCAACATAATTTTTTAAGAATCTTTATAATTTTATACAGAAATATATTCATATTTATTTTTAGCAATATCTCTAACACTTACGGAAAACACCCAAAATTCATTTGTCTAAACGGATTCTAATTATATAAATATAAATTTTTAATTTAGTAGGGTTGAGCCTGGTCAAATCCGATTTATTTAAGGTGTGTTTGTTTGAGAGTTTGAATTTTAGATTTAAATTTGAATAGTAAACCATTTGAATTTGAAAAATTGCATAATGTGATATAAATAAATATTAATTTTATATTTTAAATATAAAATTAATTTTTAGAAAGAAAAAATTTGATAAATAGTGAAAATATATATAAATCAATCAAACAAACACACCCTTATTATACTCATTCCACATTTAATCGGATATATACATAAACTGACATGGCCTGAAATAAACGGGCCGATCCGAGTCCAGTATCGGATCTAAATCCATTGGATCCCAATTTAGCCCAAATACCCTAAACCGGCCCATAATCGAATGGGTCGTAGCCCGTGGATATATTCTATGAACATAAAACCCTAATTTTTGAAACTCATATCTTCGCACCCCGCATATTTCTCACTGCTAAAATCATTTATAATTGTGGTTTTGGCTTTTCTATAGCGTAGGATTCGTTCTCCAATTGTATTGTTATTGTCGTTATAAAAACATTTTGAGTATTTGTTTTTGAAGAGTAGCGAACGAGGAAGGCAATGGCGTACGCACCGGTGAAGCCGATGAAGCCCGGGTTGGAGGAGTCCGCAGAGCAGCTTAACAAAATTCGCATCACACTGTCGTCGAAGAACGTCAAGAATCTGGAGAAAGGTATAGCCTCGTAAACTGAATGATTTAATGGTATTTTGTGTTTTATTATGGATAGAATCCACTTACAATGTCGCCGTCGATTCGTGTTTTTATCAATTTTTTTTTCCTGCTTATTTTTGTATCGTCTACCTTCGCTATTGTATTCGTGGATGAATTTCGATTAGATGCCTGAATCGATGGTTATATGCATTTAATTTATTCTCAAGGATTGAATTTGATGGGATGATGTTCTATTCCAATTATGTGAATTATTTTGTGCTGAAGCAATTTATAAGGCACAGGCTGAAACAGGTGAAATCAAAGTGATTTGCCATAGATTGATCAATTAAAGAGTACTGTATAATTGAAGACTGCAGCCTACAGTTGTTTAAGCTTTTCATCTCTGCGTTTTTGCCCCGGGAATTTTGATTTTTTGAACACACTTGATGCAGTTAATGAATCTAGATTCATCCAATTCCAATCTAATATAGTATCTATGGATACATAAGAAATACATTGATAAATCATATTGCAAATTCGAATTTGGAGTTCAAAAGGATCAAATGGTAAAGGATATTCTGAATTATAGAACTATAATGGAATACATTATCAACTTTTTGCGAATTTGTTCTGATCGTTGACGGTCAGTCACTGTTGTTGATGTTCTGTTTGTGCCATGACAGTGTGCTCCGACTTGGTGCGTGGTGCTAAGGACAAAAGGCTCAAAGTGAAGGGCCCGGTGAGGATGCCCACCAAAGTTCTGCACATCACTACCAGGAAGTCTCCGTGTGGTGAAGGTATGTTTTAACATTTTGTTCTATGTAATTGAAAAATTTTTGTTGTCGGTTATGTTGCTATAGGACTAGTTGTTGCTAAGTTATTAGCCGAATCTAGTTAGACCTTGTTTGGGTTAGAAATATTTCAAATGACTCGGTCAAATTCATTACTCACTAGCTTCGTTTGGCAATACTTATAATTTTAAATCTTGAAGATTGGTTGTAAATTTCAAATCCATTATTAATATTTCGAATACTCTTTAGACTGTTTCTTTCAACCATACCTTCGATTTTAGTTATGAAGTAAATCAAATCAAGTCATTTGAAATACACACTCGGATCCAAATGCATCCGACCAAACAAGACCTTAGTCTGTGTTCTTTGTGGATTTCTCACGAGATTTTTACTATTCACTTATTTTTTTTCTTCTGAAATATTAAATCAAATAACTATTTTTCATTTTTGATATTACTCTATATTTTGCATACATATCATTTAGAGTTATATTTCTCTCATTCTGTAAAGTAAGTTTCTTCTTTTTCTTTTAATGTCGTTGTGATTTAATTACGGACTTAATATATACCACATGTTAGGGAAAGTTGTTAATTACAAGCTGCTTGATTTTATATTATTCTAGCGTGTTCTTTTAAGGTTTAGATTTTGTTTTGAGGTTCGAGAATAGTAAAAAGTTGAATTGAAATAGCATTTGATACAATTGTTGAATGAGAAATATATGTTTAATTCTAATGAAACCGGACATTAATTGCTTCCATGAAATTTGAAATAAAATTTTTATTTATTTTTTCGTGTAGGAACAAACACGTGGGATAGGTTTGAGCTGAGGGTTCACAAGCGAGTGATCGATCTTTACAGCACTCCGGATGTTGTGAAGCAGATAACCTCAATCACCATCGAGCCCGGTGTGGAAGTTGAAGTTACAATTGCAGATTAGATTAGTAGACATCATCTGATCATTCTTCTCTAATTTTTATCATGTTTTTTTGACTTTTTTCGGCTATTTCTTGATTTTTAAGTGGCATTGAAGTTTGGACACAATGAACTCAAGTTTTTGACATTGAGATGGTTTATTTACACACATTTCTTTCGATCTCTGAATCAGTATGTTAGAAATTTCACGGCTTACTGAAAATTCTGGTATGGGAATTTGTTGTATTATTATTCCATATACTAAAAACAATTGTATATGTGCTCCTAGTACATATAATTGTACCTTGAATCTTGCTGATCTGCTCTTTCAGTTCAATGCACTGTTTTGAGGGTCCTGATTGGTTGCATTTGAAACGAGGCAGAGAATGCTTTCCGAGAGGCCCTTTAGTAAAAGTTGATCCATTGGGGAGGTGTGCTGCAGTTCTCGTTTATGGTTTGCAGCTGATAGTACTTAAGGCAGCTGAGGTTTGGATTTATGTTGAGTCTATTGTTTGTTAGACCTTTACAAATTCAAAGGCCTCTTTTGTTTCTCAAAAGTTCAGAATATTTATTTTATTTGTTGCATGTTTGTGCATAACTACACCCAGTGCTCTTTCCTAACAATTTTGGGTTTTATTAGAACTTTATATGTGATTGGAAATGATGAGTATTTCCATTTTTGAGTTTTGTGGCTTGACAAATTTCAGCAGGGTCCCTGCCTTCAAGGCTATACCTTTTATCTTTGTGTATTGGTCATGTATGCATATATTGAGTATTGAAATTTTTGGTTAGGCAAGTTCAGGTTTAGTTGGTGAGGACAGCTCTTTAAATGCAGGTCCTGCTACTGCTTCTCGCATTGAATCGTCATACATTGTTGGGCTCCGGGATCTTGACATGAAGCATGTGAAAGATTTTATCTTTTTGAATGGTGAGGATTCTAACTTTATTTCTCTTTATTCTCATTTTATTTTGACATGAATATTCTAGTGTGGCTACATATGTATTTCTGTTGTCTTATATACCCTGGGCAGTCTGTTGTAGGAAACCTCCTTACCATTGCAGTTCTACTATTATTAGTTTGTTGGAATGTATGCTTCAGAAATCAATTGACAGTCCACCCACCAAATTAAGCATGCAACATGCATGCTTGCTGTCCCTTAAGTACTATATGTGTGATTTCTGCATTATGCTCTGATTATTTAGGAGTTTATGAAAGGTGAAGTTACTAAGTTAGGCATGAACTGAATTACAATGTTCGCACAGATCCCCACATCACTACCTTTTTTGTACCCAGATAAATCTCTTTTATGCATGGAAAGGTGTTAGGTTTCAGAAGGGTATTACAGATTTTGTTACTGGTTTGGATCTTTTACAGGTTGGTGTTCTTGATTTTCCTCTAGATTGGGCAATTGATGCTACAAATAACACTTGAACAATTTAATTGGGCTTTAAGGTTTATATAAATGTGATCTACAACTCTTTACAAGTAAAACAATATTATTAGTGTTTATTGTGGGTAACCTAATTGAAAGCATCCATCTGAACCGCTGAATTGCTGGGCATTATTACTTTGCAAGATAAGATTCAGCATGTTTGGAAACACATTTCTAGTTAAAAGTTTTATTTGCAACTCATCCTATAAAAACTATGATGCCAAAGGAGAACACTTGCATGCTAGTCCTTGGAAAATCTTTGAAGCACCTTACCCAGTGCCTATTCTAAGAGTATAGTGTTTAAAGATTTTTATTTTGCTTTTAGATCCAAAACTAAGGTATAGTATAGCTGAAGATGATATCTTTTTGGCAATTTATCAGTCTTTCCATCTTGATTTTTGATTGTGAAATACCTAATATTTTCTGGTTACATTGAGCCTGTTGTAGTAATTCTACATGAACAGGAGCTTACATGGGCCGGTCGTGTCTCATGGAAACATCACACGTGTATGATATCTGCACTCAGCATCAATACAACTCTAAAGCAGCATCCACTCATATGGTCGGCAATCGTAAGTTATATTTGAAACTTGCACTTATTGAAAATTGTATAGTGTGGTATATATTAGTGGAATAAGACTCTACTAAGAGCTGAGGATTATTCTAAAATTAACACTCTCTGCAAAATAACTTATTAGCTGTTCTCATGAGGGGAAGAAATTGATTTCCTCTTCCGCATCTTATGTTTTGATTAGGAATCACAGTTATTGGATCTATTTTCCTCATACCTCACTCATAAAGGTTGCTTTTTATTCAACATTAAAATCTAGCCAGAATAATTTTGAGTTTGTTACTTTCTTCTCTATAGTAGAGTAAACTATCTTTAAACGTACTGAACACTGATCATGTGAAAGTTGTTTGTTTCTATTTTGTTATCAGAATCTTCCTCATGATGCATACAAACTCCTTGTTGTTCCATCTCCCATTGGTGGAGTTCTCGTAATTTGTGCAAATACAATCCATGACCATAGTCAGGTTTGCCACTTTCATATTGCCTTATTTCCTACCCCATTTAATTGCATTTTCTCCCATTTACATGCTTTTTCTTTTTGTCTCATTCTCTCTCACTCTCTCTCTCTCTCTCTAATTAATTGGACAGTCAGCATCATGTGTCTTAGCATTGAACAATTTCGCAGTTCCTGTTGATGGCAGGTGATGCTTAATTCCTTTATTCTGTATTTCCACTCCTTTCTTGTAATTACATTGATTCATGCTTTTGGATACAACTTTTTCAAGTTTTAATTTTCTTTTACTGCAAGTGCATTCTAGGGTTGAGTTGGGTTTTTCTTTTTGAGATATGTACTTTCTTTTCTTTTGTGTGCTTTATTTATTAAAAGGATTTGGGTGTACAGACTATGTTTAGCACAAATTAATGAAATACATCATCAAGAATGTTTGGCTACCGGATTTCAGACTTCAGTTTACCCCATTTTTCAGAATATTTTGATATGACGAGGGTTAGGTATATCAATCAATGAGTCTTAGTAAGGCTGATAATACTGATGCACTGCTTTATTTTCCTACAATGATATTTTTAAAAGGCCACCAAAATCCCAGTGCCAAAAACAAACAAACAAAATTTCAATTCCTTTATTACATGCCAATTTTAAAGAATGATTAAATATTTAAAATTATATAGTGGTTAGCAAAATAAAAGCAAAAATACAATTGGACTCGGTTTAGATATATATATAATATTTGATTTTTATTTTTTTTGAAATTTTATAAAATTTTAAAAATAGTAAACAATTAAATCTTTCAAGTGGTATAAATAGATCTTGAATGTACAAATTTGTATATAAATTCTTTTATATATATATAAAAAAGTATTTATTGTTATGACACATCATATATATTGATAGGTGTCATTTATTTATGTTGATGAATCACCTAATTTTGATGACTAATGATTTTGTAAATTGTCTATAAATAAGTCCAAAATCTTGTGTAATAAAGGTGTGATTTTGATTTCATTTTACTTTGTCTCTCTATCGGCTCTCTCTCTCTCTCTATTCTCATCTCTATAAATTATATACATATACTCATATATATATATATATACATATATTATATATTATTATTATAGTTATATTTTGTTATATATTTTATAACACGTTATCAGCACGAGGCTTTGCCGAGGAAATGCACATAAAAGATAGCGTATTTTTTTTTGTTGTTTTTGTTGTATTACTCGGATGATTGTGGAATTTCTGGTAAGTATTTATTTTCTTTTAATTATGTCTAATATAACAAAGTTTGAATTTTCCCCACTGGCAATTACTGGAAATAATTATATGCCGTGGGTAATGGATGTCGAAATGCACCTCGAATCCATGGGGCTTTCGAAAACAATAATTAGTGAAAATGAATGCACAAATCAAGAACGTGCAAAGGCAATGATTTTCTTGCGTCATCATATTGACGAAGCCCTAAAAATGGAATATTTAATGGTGAAAGATCCATTTGAACTATGGACAAATTTGAAAGATCGATTTGGACACTTGAAATCTGTTATATTACCGAAAGCGAAACATGCATGGCAACACTTGCGTTTGCAAGATTTTAAAACAGTTGCTGATTATAATTCTATGATGTTCAAAATCAAGTCTGATAGGGATATGTTGGAAAAAACATTTACCACGTTTCATGCCTCTAATATAGTTTTACAGCAACAATATCGAGAAAGGGGTTTTAATAAATATTGTGATCTTATTACTTATCTGCTTGTTGCTGAACAAAATAACGAATTATTGTTAAAAAATCACGAATCGAGGCCAACTGGTGCGAGTCCATTCCCTGAAGTGAATGCGACTCAGTGTTTAAATAATATGCCTAGATTCTACCGCGGACGAGGTCGCGGACAAGACAGTGGACGTGGATTTGGTCGTGGACGTGGAATGAGTCGTGGACGTGGAGCCGACCGTGGACGAGGTCGTGGCAGGTTTGTTTATTACCGTCAGGGATATTTTGATGAGCAGGAATCAAATAGGCCTATGAAGCGGCCTCAGAACGATATTGGTCAGAGTTCAAAGAAAAATGAGGATAAGTGTTATCGTTGCGGAATGACAGGGCATTGGTTCAGAAATTGTCGTTCCAATTCTTATTTTGTTGAGCTGTACCAAAATTCCCTGAAACAGAAAGACAAAGTGCCTGAAGAAATTTAAGCACCGGAAAATGTCAATCTCCCAGAAATTAATTTTTCAGAGAATGTTGCCAGTGGAAGTGGGGGTGATAAATGTAATGATAATACGCAACTAGATGTATTTGATTTTTTAGTACACCCTGAAGGTGGGTACTATGAAAATCCCAGAAATGCGATATAAAATGCATATAGATATGTGTATATATTTTTGTAACACATGTAGTTTTTGCTCCCGATATTTTGTAATGATATGACAGCTATGTATTTTCTCCAAATTTTTGATATATTTATTCTTATATTTCTCCCATAAAAAGAAATATGAATGCTGAAATATGAATGCTGAACACGTTATAATGAATAATATGGAAGACAGTTCATGTCTCATTGATAGTGCATCAACACACACCATTTTGAAATATAAGAAATATTTCACCAACCTGAAGTTGAGAAAAATTGAGGTGAATACCATAAGTGGTTGTGCGAAGTTAATTGAGGGCTCTGGAAGAGCGATAATATTTCTCCCCGAAGGAGTAAAACTTGATATCCAAAATGCACTATATTCTAGTAAATCTCAAAGAAATTTGTTGAGTTTTAATGATATTCACAGAAATGGATATCATATTGAGACATCAAGTATGGCAAATAATGAATTTTTGTTGATTACAAAATTCATTGATGGACATAAATATATATTAGAAAAATTGCCTTTATTGTCTTCCGGATTATATTGCACAAAGATTAATGTGGTTGAAACATATATGGTAGACCAGAAGTCTACAGATTTTGTGATTTGGCATGACTGGTTTGGGTATCCTGGTAATACTATGATGAGACGAATTATTGAAAATACCAATGGCCATAACTTGAAAGATCAAAGGATATTAAATACAAATGAGTTTATATGTGTTGCTTGTTCAAAATGGAAGTTAATAACTAGACCATCACCGGCAAAAGTGGAACTGAATCCCCTTCATTTTTAGAACGAATTCAGGGTGATATATGTGGACCTGTAGATCCACCATGCGGACCATTTTGATATTTAATGGTACTTATCGATGCATCTACTAGATGGTCGCATGTGTGTTTATTATCTACCCGCAATTTGGCAATTGCGAGGTTGCTTGCTCAAATAATTAGATTACGAGCTCAGTTTCCAGATCACCCAATAAAGAAAATTCGTCTTGATAATGCTGGTGAATTTTCATCTAAGACTTTTTATGATTATTGCATGTCTATTGGAATTGACATTGAACACCCTGTACTTCATGTACATACTCAAAATGGTAGCTGAATAAAAAAGTTGCAATTAATTGCAAGACCTATGCTAATGAAATCCAAACTTCCTGTCTCTGCTTGGGGATATGCAATTATGCATGCAGCAACACTGATAAAATTAAGACCGACAAGCTATCATAGCTACTCCCCAGTACAATTAGTGTACAATGAAAAGCCCAATATTTCACATTTGAGAACTTTTTGGGTGCGCGGTTTATGTGCCAATTGCACCGCCCCAACGTACAAAAATGGGCCCCAAACGGAGATTGGGGATATATGTCGGGTACGAATCACCATCTATCATTAAATATCTTGAATCATTAACTGGTGATTCATTTACGGCTCGTTTTGCTGATTGTCATTTTGACGAGTCACATTTCCCGATATTAGGGGGATAAACTGATCAACTGAAAAAGGAAATTACTTGAAAAATACCATTCAGTTTTCTTGATCCTCGTACAAGTCAAAGTGAATTAGAGGTACAAAGAATTTTACATTTGCAGCGAATAGCAAATCAGTTGTCTGATGCTTTTTGTGACGCCAGCAGGGTCACTAGATCTTATATAGCTGCTGAAAATGTACCTGCTAAAATTGTTATTCCTGGAGACAAAATACAAAGTGCCAATGAATCAAATGTACACCTAAAGCGTGGCAGACCTGTAGGTTCCAAAGATAAAAATCCTCGAAAGAAAAGAGGAACAAATGAAATAGTTGATGATTTGAATGTTAATCAAAACCCTCAAGAAACAGGTAGTAACATGGATCAGATTTCTAGAGAAATTGATCCTGATAAACTTGATGAAGATGTTAATCCTAATAGAATTTCTTCTGAAGAGAATAAAATTATTGAAAATTCAATAAATTATGTTACTATTGGAAAACATTGGAACCGAAGTGATACAATTATGGATAATGTTTTTGCATATAATGTAGCACTTGATCTAATGGAAAATGACGAGGATCCAGAACCTAGATCAGTTGATGAATGTCGGAAAAGAATAGATTGGCCAAAATGGAAAGATGCGATCCAGTCTGAATTAAATTCACTGGCAAAACGAAAAGTTTTTGGACCCATTGTTCAAACACTTGAAGGTGTTAAGCCTGTTGGCTATAAATGGGTATTTGTTCGAAAGCAAAATGAGAATAATGAAATTGCCAGATATAAAGCAAGACTTGTTGCCCAAGGTTTTTCACAAAGACCTGGAGTTAGATTTTAATGAAACATATTCTCCAGTAATGGATGGAATAACATTTCGATATCTTGTCAGTTTGGCAGTACATGAAAATTTGGATATGCATCTGATGGACGTTGTAACTGCGTATTTATATGGCTCGTTGGATAGTGATATTTACATGAAAATCCCTGAAGGATTTAGTATGTCTGATGCATATAAATCAAAGCCAAAAGAATGTTATTCTATTAAATTACAAAAGTCTTTGTATGGGCTCAAACAATCTGGTCGCATGTGGTATAATCGTCTCAGTGAATCATTATTGAAAGAGGGATATGCCAATGATTCTATTTGTCCGTGTATTTTTATAAAGAAAAATAGGAGAAATTTTATAATAATAGCTGTATATGTGGATGATTTGAATTTAATTGGAACCCCTGAAGAAATTCAAGAAGCTATTGAATATTTGAAAAGGGAGTTTGAAATTAAAGATTTTGGAAAAACGAAATTTTGTCTTGGCCTACAAATTGAACATTTGGAAAATGGGATTTTGATACATCAATCTGCATATACCCAGAAGGTATTGAAATGATTTCCAATGGATAAAGCACATTCATTAAGTACTCCAATGGTCGTTAGAACTCTCGATCCTATTAAAGATCCTTTTAGACCAAAAGAGGAGAATGAGGAAGCACTTGGTCCTGAAGTACCATATTTAAGTGCTATTGGTGCACTAATGTATCTGGCTAACAGTACTAGACCAGATATAGCGTTTGCTATAAATTTATTAGCCAGATTTAGTGCAATGCCAACACAACGACATTGGAAAGGAATCAAACATATTTTTCGTTATCTCCAAGGATCTATTGATCTTGGTCTATTATATCCAAAAGGATCTCGACATGAATTGATTGGATATGCAGATGCTGGGTATCTTTCTGATCCGCATAAAGCCAAGTCTCAGACTGGCTATATGTTTACTTGTGGCGGTACAGTGGTATCTTGGAGATCCACTAAACAAACATTAACCGCCACATTTTCAAATTATGCAGAAATAATATCAATTCATGAAGCCAGTAGAGAGTGTGTTTGGCTAAGATTAATGATTCACCACATTTTACAGAATTGTGGTTTGAAATCTGAAAATGATAATCCTCTTACTATCTTGTACGAAAATAATGCAGCTTGTATAGCGCAACTGAAAGAAGGATATATCAAGGGAGATAGAACGAAACATATTTCACCAAAATTTTTCTTTACTCATGATCTCCAGAAAAATGGTGAAATAAATGTGCAGCAGATTCGATTAGACCAAAATTTAGCAGACTTGTTGACCAAGGCTTTACCGACCGCAACATTCGAGAAATTAGTGAAGATCATCGGGATGCGTCGGTTGCAAGATTTCAAATGATGTCCACATCAGGGGGAGCAATATTTCAAGTGATGTCCACAACAAGGGAAGTATTTTTAATGCATGAATAACGTACTCTTTTTCCTTAACTAGGATTTTTGTCCTGTTGGGTTTTTTCCTAGTAAGGTTTTAACGAGGCGTAGTCATTGCAATTAATGACACCTAAGGGGGAGTGTTATGACACATCATATATATTGATAGATGTCATTTATTTATGTTGATGAATCACCCAATTTTGATGACTAATGATTTTGTAAATTGTTTATAAATAAGCCCAAAATCTTGTGTAATAAAGGTGTGATTTTGATTTCATTTTACTTTGTCTCTCTATCGGCTCTCTCTCTATTCTCATCTCTATAAATTATATACATACACTCATATATATACATATATATTATATATTATTATTATAGTTATATTTTGTTATATATTTTATAACATTTATGTGATTTTATTTGTAATTTTTTTTTTTGGATGTAGGTGGAGATAAGCTTAGTTTATTTTCTCTTTATAACAATCAAAATTATCTCCATAAGTAATATTGTTGATAAAAATTTAGATTTGGAGATATATATATAGATAAATTATATATCATTCCATTCTATAACTAGTAAAAATGCACAAAACACTCCGTATTCTATTTATTGCAGAAAATTCCATTATGTTAATATAGAATTTGTTAGAATATGAAATTAAAATTTTCTAATTTCAATCGTAAAAATACGTACATATTTATAATGATATACAAATCGTCTAAATAAAATAAAAATCCTATAAATATCTTAAATAAGATAACTACCATAAATATAATATATTGTTTCTAAATATATTTTAACACCCCTCCTCAAACTCAATATATGATCGAAGAAATTTGAATTTGTCAGAAGTGACCGGAAAAGATATAGCCGAGATCTTTCATATACAAATTTGAATTAGTCAAGATTGACTGAAGGTAATGTAGTCATCCACTAGATCAAAGTCAAAAGTAGAACTCTCAACACCATTAAAGTTGGAAACAATACTTGTTCGCTCACAACGAACTAGAGTCGAAAACAAGACTTGCTCACTCTATAGAGCTAGAGTCAGAAACAGGACTTGCTCGCTCACAACAGAGTTAGAGTCAGAAACAGACTCGCTCGCTCACAACAGAGCTAGAGTCAGAAACAGGACTCGCTCGCTCACAACAGAGCTAGAGTCAGAAACAGGACTCGCTCGCTCACAACAGAGCTAAAGTCGAAAACAAAACTCCTTCGCTCTCAATAAAGTTAGAGTCGAAAACAGGACTCTCAACGACGTTAAAATCGAGAGTAGGCTATGTCAGTGGAGTAATAGAGATGGAGACAACATGAAAATAATAGCATGACCGAGCATGACTGTGAATAGATAGAGATACATCAATAAAATATAAAATTATATATGAGATATAATGAGTCATAGATGTACCCGGAGAGAGTTTGGCTCTATACCGTGTTAGAATATGAAATTGAAATTCTCTATTTCAATTATAAGAATTCGTATATATTTATAGTGATATATAAATTGTCTAAATAAGACAAAAATCCTACTAATCTCTTAAATTAGACAACTATTATAAATATAATATATTGCTTCTAAATATATTTTATGAAAACTTGTACGAAACACACTTCTTATCTAAATAAATATTTAAATTACATAAATTTTATAGAAATAAAAAGTGTAAAATATCTTAAATTATTTTTTTTAATAAAATAAATAAATAATTAATCAAGCATTCACTTTTATAATTTTTGTAGAAATCATATAACAATTTGTTTCAAAAAAAATTATAACACGAATGATTAATTAATTAATTATTTATTTATTTTATTCAAAAAATTATTTAAAGTATTTTATTTTATTTTATTGTATAAAACTTGCATTATTAGATTCATATTACAATCAAATATTAATTTTGGCCGAAAATATATTTCGTAAAAATTTTACATTAATATAAAAAAATTTCACGCAATATATAAAATAATTATACTTATTAGATATATGGCAAAATAATTATTACTATATTAATTGGTTGCTATAGTTATGTTTTCACTATAATTGCAAATTTCAATAAAATAAAAATAAAATTAAAAATTAAAAATTAATTAATTGTATTAAATTGGTTTGACTAAAATAAATATTGGAGATAGACACAAATAAAATCAAATCTGATTTCACTTACTTAACTATTCATATTTAAGTAAACAAATCAAAATTAATAATTTCAAATTTAAATAAAGAAAGTAACCCCTTTAATTATATATACATACGTATCAATTTAGTCAGGTAAATTATAATTATTTATAATTTCTATTTTTATTAATGTTGATAATCTTTATTAAACTTTAAAAGCAATAACTTAAAAAACACAAGATAAATATTCCAATTTCAATTTTTATTATACATGTATATTAATTACTTTTATCTTTTTTCTTTTTTAATAACGATTTATGATATTCTATATATATATATACATATATATGCACATATAATTACATTAGGGTTTGAGATTTTGATTTAAAATTTAATTTAAATTATATTTTATAAAAAATATTATATTTTTATTGAAAATGAATAATCAATTTTTTGTTTGAAAAAAATAAAAATCCATATATATATTATTATTATTTACTATTAAATTTGATTATTTTTTTGCGTCAACAATTTATTACCTTCCGTAAAACATTGATATGGTTCAAATTGTCTTTTATTTTTGATATATATTTAATTCAACATACTATTTTTGTAGAAAAATTATATTTGATATTTATTGTTGTTAATTATGCTACAATTCATAGTAAGTACAATATTTTTATTTTGTTAGTCATTAATAATTTTAAAATAAAAATATTTCAAAACATATCTAAACACTATTCGTTTATTTTTTTCATATATATATATATATATAAATACATACACACAGAGAAACATAACCATATTTATATTTGTATTCATAATATATGAATAAAATGAAAAACCTTATAATAATATCTTGTATATTACTATTACCTTGTCTTATAAATTATACAGAATTTGCAAAGAAATCAAAATTTAATTATGCCCAAGCATTGTCGAAAAGTATACTGTTTTTCGAAGGCCAACGCTCCGGGAAAATCCCGCCGTCGCAACGCCTCAAATGGCGGAAGGATTCCGGTCTAAATGACGGCAAATACAAGGGCATAAGTCTGTTTTTTTTAACAGATGTTCGATTATCACTTTTATCATATAATTTTATATTGTAAAGCTTTGATCTTATAAATTACTATAATTTATCTAATTTGTTTGATTTTGGCTTGAGTTTGATCATTTTTGTATTTGAATTTTAATTTAAATAATATTTTGATATTATATTTTATTAAAAATTAATATATTTTTATTGAAAGTTATAAGATTGAATAACATTAATTTTGGATTCAGATTATAACCAAATTAACACACTTATTATTACTTGTGATTTTATTTTTTTTTCTCTTAAAAATAAAGAAACTTCACATAAAATCATAAGTTCTAAATTTTAAAATAAAAACAAGTGAAAAAGATAATTTACAATATCTAAATATAGGATCGTGCAAAAAATTATTGTCTATCAAGTTAAAAAGTATACATATTTTTATTTTAGGACGTCCAATTACAAAATAAATATTTTATTACATACCTCATTTTTTTTCACAAATACCTTTACTTTACATCGCATCATTACTTTTACACCAAAACGTAAGGGCAAAAAATATCATTACACTACTTTTAACTATCTACTAGAATTAAAATATTATTATTTCTTAAACTCCGCGCCAAAAATAAATGTTTACTTTGTAAGTGAATGGAGAAAGTATATGATAAAATGATAATCGAACATATATATATATATATATATATAGACACAATAACATGTATTATTTTTTTTTATATAAAAAAATTTATAGATTGCTTAATAAATTGGATGTATTTGCTTTGCTTTTGATTTTTTTTTTTAGAAAAAAGTAAATAAAAATAGATTTTTGATAGTTTATTTTTGATGAAAAATAAATATTAATGTGATATATTCGACAGGTCGACTTGGTCAGTGGATACTACGACGCCGGCGACAACGTAAAATTCCATTTTCCGATGGCGTACACCGGGACAATGTTGGCGTGGTCCATTTTGAAATACGGCGGTGTTATGGGCCGTAATCTTCCACGGGCCATGGAGGCCCTCCGGTGGGCGACGGATTTCTTTATAAAATGCACGGCAAAGCCCGGCGTTGTTTTTGCGCAAGTCGGCGATCCCAAAGCCGACCACAATTGTTGGGAAAGGCCCAAAGACATGGACACTCCTCGGATCGTCTACGCGGTCACGAAAACAAAGCCCGGCTCGGAAGTTTCCGGCAAAATGGTGGCCGCCATGGCCGCCGCCAGTATAGTGTTCAAGAACGCCGGAGATCGCTCATACTTTAGCCTCCTCCGTGATAGGGCCGAGAAGGTTCGGTAACCTAAATATTTTATTAATGTTTTTGAAGATACGATTTTGTTTATACAGGTATTTTTAAAAATTTTAGTACTTTTTTCATCTCAGATGTAGTGTTAGAGTTACCGTTGACACTAGAATTTAAAAGAAATTTGATTAATAAATAATTAAAAATATATTGATAAAATTAATTAAAATACAATACAAATAGTTATAGATTAAGTTAATATAACTAATTAGTTTAATAAAAATTTAAAATATGATTAAAAGGTAATTTTTTTTTTTCTAAAAAAAGTGATATAATATGTGGACGGGACGAAAATAAAAAATATGACATGATACATAGGATGGAGGGAGTACCTTTTATAATTTTTTTTTTAAAAAAAATCATATTAAATTCAATTACATTCTAGCACGTGAATTATTTTATTTTTATTTTTTTATAAAATATAAATAAAAATGAAGATAAAGGGGATTTATTTATGAAATTTAATTTATATTTTATTGTTTATGTTTTGAAAGTTGGTAATCATGAGTACATATAAGTTTTCAAGATAGAAATGAATCTTCTATAAAACAAAATTTATAGATATATTTTGAAAGTGCTTCGAATCAAGTTTTGAAAAGTTTTATAAATGATACAAAATTGAATAAAATTAATATTTAATTTAATATAAATAAATATTAAATATAATATTTTATATAGAATATAAAATTCGCAATGTACTGTAATATTTTAATTGAAAATTAAATATGTAATGTGTATATTTTAGAAATATATTGCTGAAATTGATAAATACTAACAAAAAAGAATAATTTTAAAAATATTAAACATGTATGATTTGAAAATAATTATTTTAAAATATCTCAATATATATATTGATATTTGTAGGTATTCAGATTTGCAGACGCACACAGAGGTTTTTACAACGACAACATCGGCTATGGCGTCTGCCTTTTTTACTGCGATTATAACGGCTATCAAATATTGATTATTATTTTTACTTTGTATTTTTTTTAAAAATATATATATATTATTTTTATAAAATATTTTATAATATATTATTTTAATATCAAATTCAAATCAAATTAATTTGTTTCGAACTTATAAGAAGAAACATATCCTTAGTAATTTTTTTTTTTTTTTTTTTATCTTTTATCTTTTTTTACTTTAACGTTAATTATTAGAAATAAATTGAGTCCAACATTTTTAAATAGAATAATTTTGAGGTGTGGTACAAGAAATTTTGTCAAAAAAAAAAAAATTGTATTATTTTAAGTTAAATTTGATTTTTTGATATTTTATAATAGATCCCTTAATAATTTATCCATTTTGGTCTGTCCCACAGTATTCATTTTTTTTAATAATTGTATTATCTATCTAGCATTACAAATACCCTTCTAATTTACAATATATTACATAAATATTATTACATTTATATCATATAATACTAATATGATTAATTTAATTTTTTTACATTTATATCTATTTTATTCTAACATATATTAATATTTTTAAAAAATAAATATATATATATATATATATATATATGAGATGGGGGAAATATTAGTTTTTTAATTATTATTGCAGGACGAACTGGTGTGGGCAGCAACTTGGCTAAATAAAGCGACGAAGAATTCAATGTACTGGAGTTACATTGTTAAGAACTTTGGGGACTTTAAGCCAAATTATGAACGCCTCCTTCTTCAATTCGGTTGGGATGCAAAACATGGTGGAATCGACATTATTCTTTCCCAGGTAATTTTAATCTTATAACATATTTAAAAAATAATAATAAGGAAATCAATTCAACCAAACAATATTGTAATTATTCAAAATAGTTTTATAGTATTCAATAATTAAAAACAAGAGTCACATCATTCTTAATTTATGTATACACTTTTGGAACTTTGGTGTTATTTACATGCATTAATTTATTTTTCAGTACAAAACTTATACAAAATATAATTATATAAATCTAAAAAGATAATTTAACAAGAGTAAAAATCATTTTTGGTCCCATTCAATATCAAAATTATCAATTTTGATTCCATTCAAAACAAATTATCAATTTTAGTCCAACTCAAATGAAAATTTATCAATTTTAGTTCCAAAATGGTTGACTGGGACTGAACACGGTCGTGTTTGCTTGAACACGGCCGTGTTGGATGACTCAGAAGGTGACTAAGCATCCCAGGCAGTCAACACGGCCGTGTTGATTACCCTGCACTTATGAACACGGCCATGTTCCTGCCCATGTTCTCAACACAGCCATGTTCTAGCCATGTTCCTACCCATGTTCTCAACACAGCCATGTTCCTGCCCATGTTCATGCCCATGTTCTCAACACAGCCATGTTCTAGGCCATGTTCACGACCATATTTTCAATATAATCATATTGTAGGTCATATTTAATATTTTTTTTCACTTTTTGGTTAAAATTATTTGATATATATATTTATAATTTAACAAAAATATTTTTTACAATTATTTTATAATATAAAAAATAATCAATGTTTAATATTTTTAAAATATATAAAAATAATAATATTTTAAAATAATACTCCCTCCATCACACGTTGAATATGGGTTACTGTACACACGAGAATTTAAGATATATATAATTAGTAGATAATTAAAAATGTATTAGTAAAAATAATTATCATATAATATAAATAATTATAATTAAGATTAAAATAACTTATTAGTTTAATTAAAATGTGAGACGGATATAAACGACAATGTGGACATGGTAAGTGGGACGGAGGGATTATCATTAAAAAATATATATTAATATATTATTATTTTTATATATTTTAAAAATATTAAAAATTGATTATTTTTTATATTATAAAATAATTGTAAAAAATATTTTTGTTAAATTATAAATATATATATCAAATAATTTTAACCAAAAAGTGAAAATAATAATAAATATGACCTACAATATGAATATATTGAAAATATGGTCGTGAACATGGCCTAAAACATAGCTGTGTTGAGAACACGAGCAAGAACGTGGCCTAGAACATGGAAACATGGGCAGGAACATGGCTGTATTCAGAAGTGCAGGGCCGTGCTGAGACCAACGCGGCCGTGTTGGCTGCCTGGGACGCCCAGTCACCTTCTGAGTCATCCAACACGGCCGTGTTCAAGAGAACACGGCCGTGTGTTCAGTCCCAGTCAACCATTTTAGGACTAAAATTGATAAATTTTCATTTGAGTGGGACTAAAATTTGATAATTTTTTTTGAATGAGATCAAAATTGATAATTTTGATATTGAATGAAAAAAAAAAGATTTTTACTCCATATATTATTTCTTTATTTGAGAGTTAAATTATTTATTTAGCTGATGAAAAATAAGCGCACCTCAATATCCATATGATCGTGGCGATCCTTTCAGCGGAGGTAATAGCATTTCCCGTCGTCGGCACCGATCTCTGCTCTTCCCTCTTTCCTCCTCTTGAAAATAATACTATTAATTAAAAAAATCCCTGAATTGAACCCTGTACTGGTATTTTTACTGCTGTTTTTACTGATTTGAATACTACATTGGTTATTTTTATTAGGGTTTTGAATTTGCGCCGATTCTATTCAAAGTATATTATATTGTGATTGGGGATATTGGTTTTTTTTTTTTTTTTTTTGTTCCGATTAGGTCTTGGTTATTAGTTTGGTTTGTTGGGCATTGTAACCGAGATTTGTTGCAGGTGATTACATAGCGGTTTCGAACAGAATTAGGGTGAAGGGATGCTAGATTTTTCTATTTGTTTCCTCTTGTTCCCTGTCTCTTATGTTGTAATCGTCATGTTTTAGTCATAGTGGAATTGATTATCACTTCTTCTTGCAGAATTATTTACTTGGAGCTTTTAAGCCAGCATGCAACATTTCAATTGCATTCTTGGATGGGATAACTCGAAAGCAGGTTTGTCTGTCTTCCCCTTTTATAATTGTTAGAACTTTCAAATACATGTTTGGTAGGACTCCAGACATTGTATTAATCGAACATTACAAGAGTAGTCTAATCAGATTAGGAAGAGAATTCTGTGACTGTATGTACGTCTTTGCATTGGTCATAGTAGTATTAATTCTTTGCAACTAGGCTTGAATTCTATGGATGTCTTTTCTTGGTTCTTAATAGCATGTACAATGTAGGGAATGGTGTTACTAAATTATGAACTATTATTTTAATTTATTTAGTTTCGTGGGTTGCATCTGTGATTTCTGTGGCTTAATGATCTCTTACCGGAAAGACAAGTATATTATAGTTCACATTGATGTTACTGAGGCTTACTCATGTAAAAATGTGGATTTAGGTGCAATTGAAAAATGAGAATGGTCAAACAGTAATGGTTCCGAGGAAACGATTTTTGGGATGGTATTTTCTTTTCTTGTTGATTCGGCCTTTATGTAAAGTTAGTGTTTTGGCTTTTACTAATTTATCATAGTGATACCATGTATCATTCTTTAGATTTCTGTCGAACCAATTCCTGGGAAGAAGGTTGACCACGATGGGATTAAAGTTGAGCTTCTTGGTCAGATAGGTGTGTTTCAAGTATATTATTTAGAATTATCTGTTAAATTATCCTTCACGTCATCAGATTTTTAGTCATGTCGTCCTCCCATAGCTATTTGTCTTTACTGTCAGACAACTGTCAATTTTGTAGGCACCTCATCTGAGGTTAATGAATTTTGTATTTCATTTTCATAACTGTTTAATATAATCGTCTGCTTTGCATTGGGTAAAAAAGTTACAGCATCCCATATCTAATTGCACCATTTTTGCAGAAATTTACTTCGACAGGGGCAACTTCTATGACTTCACTTCTCTTGGTAAAGATAAATTAATTGCTTTTGTATTTTATACATAATCTGCTTCCCATGTGCTATGATTTCTGCATTTTTGGATAAATGTGGATTGTCCACTTTTGCCCCAATTCAGAAATCTTCATTTATATCATCTTTCATGCTGTTATATTCCATAAGCCCTGCTTTCATCTTAATGATATTTTTACAACTTATGTTACTATGGCAGTTCGTGAACTGGATGTTCCTGGGGATGCCTCATGAGACATACAATGGGGTAAATGTGCGTCTTAGGTTAGTTATTTGTTCTGTGTCTTTAAACAGCAGGTTTCTCTTGCTTTTATTTGTCTACTTCAGAATGCAAAACATATTTCACATTTCGTTTCTTTTTCAAGAAAGTTGAAAAATGAATAAGGGTGCGAGTTTTACTGTGGGAATTTTAGGCAAAACCTCCAACGACTGGAATACTCGTTTCTGAAACTATTTTATTTGTTTTTGTGCTGATGGTCATGTATCATCATTCATCGCTGCACATATTCTTATTTTAACTGGTAAAGGAATTGCCACCATATAGGGTTCAGATTGTGTGGTTTCGTTCTCATATTAGTTTATTTTGATTAAGGAAGGACAATCAAATAGCTTTCATCTAAGGGCTATGTATCATATAAAGAGCAATGGAAAGACATTCACTTTTGAAAGCTCATATACTTTCGCTGTTGTAGAAAATGGGCTTAAATTAGTGGACAAATACAGGACGATTTAGTCATGATGTCCGCATTTTCTACAGATCCTTGGTCTTGTGTTTTTGTATCTCAACTAATAAGAAATCTGATGTTAATTTAACTCTCTCTCTCTCTCTTAGTAATTGGAAGTTTTATGTTTGTTTCAGATATGTCCTAAGGGTGACAATAAGTCGGGGATATGCTGGTAGCATAGTGCAATTTCAGGACATTGTGGTAAGGATAATCTTTTAGTCTCCAAATGCTTGCTATATTTATCGAATGCCTCCCAAATTGGAGTGCATGTATTATGTCAGCGTTGATTTTGTCGCCTCATTTACCTAAATCATTAGTTGTAGATGGGTTCAGTGGGCGACAATGATTTATATCTCATCTTATTTTGTTTACAAAGTGTGACATCATTAATCATTCATCGGCATCATCTTATTTAGTCGATGATTGCGGACCAATGTAGCAAGAAAGTAGTTCCCCTTTTCTATTTATCATGTAGTGATGTTGAAGTGTGTTTGCTGGCAGAAGCTTTAATCTGCACAATGCATAGTATTCATATCCATTTTTATGTATCAGGTACGGAATCACAGCCCTCATCCCTAACTAAATAACAGCATTAAGGTATTATTATTTCTCATATGTATGAAATCTTTTGCATGATATTATATACACATTTTTTCTTTGTTGTTCTTGTTGTAGATGGAAGTAGGAATTGAGGACTGCCTCCATATCGAGTTCGAGTACAATAAGAACAAGTAAGCTACTTCAGAAATTTTAGCATTAGCTCTGGACAGTTTGTTTGGTTGATTGAAATTTGAATGTGGATGATGATGGATGCAGGTATCACCTGAAAGATGTAATTATTGGGAAAATATATTTTATGCTGGTGAGAATAAAGCTCAAGAATATGGATCTTGAGATTGGGAGGAGAGAATCGACAGGGTCCGGGCCAAACACACGTGGAGACGGAGGCACTTGCCAAGTTTGAGCTCATGGATGGCACTCCCGTCAGAGGTAACTATGGCTTCCCATCTCTTCTCTTTCTCTCATGTCGTCGGCTACACATCCATTGATTGATTTAAGAGCTGCATTGCAGGTGAATGGATTCCGATCAGATTGTTTCTAAGTCCGATTGAACTGACTCCAACTTATCACAACATCAACAACAAATTCAGTGTTAAGTACTTGGTGAACCTCGTGCTTGTTGATGAAGAGGACCGTCGATACTTCAAGCAGCAGGAAATCACAGTGTACCGCCTCCGATCCCCAGAAACAGCCACGAACTGAGAGATCGAGAGAGAGAGAGAAGACAATAATCATAAATAAATATTTATGCCATTTATTTTTCATTCATTATTTTTTTTTTAATAACATGAAAATTGACCGTTGAATTTATGGATCTATTTTCACACGGTTAATTAGAACCGATCATTGCGTTTCATCTCTTTATCTTATTTTATATAGTGATTGTTATTATATTGAATTTTATAATTTGTTTATCATTTGTTCTTATTGTTACGTTGTTTTTTTGTTTTTAAAATATGATTATGGGCCAACTTTATATAAAATCAGACATAGCTCTTCCTACAGCGTCTGTGTGACGACAAATTGCAAATACAACGTCGCTCGAGACAGAGGGACAACATGGACGGAATGGATTGCACGAGGCCCGACCCGGCCCGGCCCGAACTGAAACTACAGCACCTTGAAGGGGAAAATGGAAGGCCCCACATTCAAATCGACAGACAATCCGTCCATGAATAAATAGTGCTCCAAGACATGGGGGATTGATAATTTGATATCGTTGCAATTCACAGCCACATTGTACGTACCCCCGCTCACGCTCCTTTCTTTGTTTATACCAAAATAATATGCGCTTTCGTTTCCTGTCTCTGAGTCGATAGACGATTGACATACGAGATCGATTTTTCAGTGTTATATATATATATATTTCTCCTTGTTTCTCATATATGTGGAATAATTGTTTGTTGGTCTAGGGATCAATGGAATTGTTTTTCTACATTGTCTTCGGGGCGTTGGCTGCGGTGGTGACAGCATTGGAGCTGAGTAAATCTAACAAGGATCGGATTAGTACTTCTTCATCTTTCAATTCGTTCAAGAACAATTACCTGCTTGTTTACTCGCTCATGATGGGTAGGTATAGCTGCGATTCAGAGTACGATCCGCCTTACATTAGCGATAACAATCGTTGCCAATTTGAATTGATCAAAAAGTTATATATGATGAGCGCCCGGGCAATTGCTATTTACTGTGATTATTTTTATGTGAGTAGATTCTAGATACAAATGCCACGGTGCTGCATGAGTACCAAATAGCTGGACTGGTCTAAATGGGAGTGCTTGTGTGATCTGACGACATAATTAAATTTGAATATGATGTTGGAAATTAGATATAGGTTTATAAGATTGGTTGAAGTTTCTACATTGAGAACTTAGTTTATGAAAAGTTAAGAATTGAAAGGTGTTTCCTTCCTAGATTTGCACTTGTTTTCTTCTGATGACATAGAACTTGAATCCATCGATCTGTTATCTTCATTAATTTCAGAATTATGCAACATGCATTTAGATGTAGTTTGTTGCCTTAAACTCTATATTCACACCATTGGGAGTCTTTTGTAGTATTTCTCCAACAGAAGATAGCTTGATCGATCTGTGTAATTTTATGTTGCTCAAATTTATTTTCCATGTGGCATGCAGCTGGTGACTGGTTGCAAGGTCCGTATGTCTATTACCTTTACAGTACATATGGCTTTGGGAAAGGAGAAATTGGACAGCTATTTATTGCTGGGTTTGGATCTTCTATGTTGTTTGGAACCATTGTTGGATCCCTAGCAGATAAGCAGTGAGTTGCCCTCATACTATTTATTTAAATTCAAATTTTGCTACTACGACATTCTCTTACACTGCTTTTATGAACTTGTAGGGGCCGGAAGAGAGCATGCGTTACTTACTGCATAACATATATACTGAGCTGCTTTACCAAGCATTCTCCTCAGTACAAAGTTCTGATGATTGGACGTGTTTTGGGTGGTATTGCCACATCCCTCTTGTTTTCTGCATTTGAATCATGGCTTGTGGCGGAACATTTTAAGGCAAGATTTTCCTGCATGAAATTGCTACTAACTTTTGTTAACTAACTAACCTGGTATTATCCTGAAATTATTTTTAGTTTTGAACTGTCACTGTCAAGGACCTCCCTATGGACGTTCATTGACTGATTAAATAATGAATGGTGTTGGAATATGCATTTAACATGCTCTTGGAATTTTATCATACTGTGATATAAAATTCTTATTTTTTCAATGAATTTTGGGACACAATCCTAAAATTTTCTGTGCCATTTTCTTGCTCTTATGAAACATCTATTCTCTGGTGTGTCAATGCATATATGCAACTTGCTAATAAATGAGAGAGCGAAGCTTCCGAGATGCAATTTTGGTTTTCAATACCAAGAGTACTGTTAATTAATTGCAATCTTGAATATGTACTTGTATTTGCAGAGGAGTTTTGATCCTCAATGGCTCTCGTTGACTTTCTCCAAGGCAATATTCCTCGGAAATGGTCTTGTGGCTATTCTATCAGGATTGTTTGGAAATCTGTTGGTTGATACCTTCAATCTTGGGCCTGTTTCACCCTTCGATGCTGCTTCCATATTTCTAGCTGTTGGGATGGCCATAATATTATCATCCTGGTCAGAAAACTATGGAGATCCTTCAGAGAACAAGGATTTGCTCACTCAATTCAAGGGTGCAGCTGTAGCTATTGCTTCAGGTATTCCTGAATCTCTTAATTATAGCTCCTGTCATTCCATTTAATTAACTAGGAATGTAAGTGAGAGATGCTGCCTCATGCTGGGAGGTGGTGAAGTGTTGGCATCTTGATGAGTTCACTAAGTTATTTTCTGCATCTTTTAAAACTAGTGCAAGCTTAAAGATGTCTGTCTCCTGCTGGTTCCCGATTGATGAGTTGATTTCCTGATTAATTGATCAGATGAGAGGATTGCATTGCTTGGTGCCATTCAATCTCTCTTTGAAGGTTCAATGTATACATTTGTCTTCCTCTGGACTCCTGCCCTGAGTCCAAATGATGAAGAGATTCCTCATGGATTTATTTTCGCAACTTTCATGTTGGCCTCAATGTTGGGAAGCTCAATAGCTGCGCGTTTATTGGCTCGCAACACACTTAGAGTGGAGAGCTACATGCAAATAGTATTTGTTATTTCTTCTGCAGCGCTTCTGCTTCCTATCTTAACAAGTGTATGCCCAGTCACTCTTTGCTATTTCCCTGTGATTTTACGATTTTATCTAGCTGAGCTATTTCTAATTTGAATAAACTATGGCAGTTCTTGGTAGCTCCGTCCAAGGAGAAAGGAGGTGGCATCTCATATTCAGGCTGTCTCCAACTTCTGGGCTTCTGCACATTTGAAGCTTGTGTGGGAATTTTCTGGCCATCCATAATGAAGATGAGATCCCAATACATCCCTGAGGAGGCTCGAAGCACCATCATGAACTTCTTCCGTATCCCCCTAAACATCTTTGTTTGCATCGTGCTTTACAACGTACACCCGTCTCATGTCTGACTCGTGCTTGCTCGTAATCTTTGCTTGAATGGATGTTTCTTAAGTCACATGGAAGCTAACCTACGGTTTTGTGCATAACTTGTTCGGTTTCATTCATACCATCCTCTCTGTCCACAATTTTCACACATAAGTGCCTTTGGAACCATGTTAGAATCCATAGAAAGTAGGTCTTACACTTTTTAGTCAACAAGTATTCCAAGATGAAGTGATGTCCATTATGTCGAACGGATAAGATAGCATAAATGTTCCTGTATTTAGTGGGGCTGAGCTTGGGAAATAACTAACTCATTTTCGGGTGGTTGCAGGTTAATGCTTTCCCCATTACCGTTATGTTTGGTATGTGTTCCATCTTCCTCTTTGTGGCATCCCTCCTCCAAAGAAGGTTATCAGCAATTGGAGAGAAGCCAAGTGCGTATTGTATTGTATTGTATTGTTTTGTGTTATTTCTGCACTAGTACAATCTTGTTGTTAAGAGTATATCGAATCATCTAACTTGTATTAGCATTGTTGGCCGTAAGGAATGCAACTAGCGCAACTAACATGCCCTCTCCTTGTTTCAGAGTCGGAAGAAGAATGGACTATGTTGAAGGAGAGAAACGTGGAGGTCGAAGCCTAGATGTTACTACTACTACTACTACTCCATAGATTGGACTGGTTCAAGTGAATGGATGGGACTTCTCTCGGAAGGTGGTTGTTTGTTTCCAGATAAGCTTTTTCAATAACCATATATAGTAGCAAAAATTGCCAGCAATAAAGGGGAGGGATAGAAGTAATTAATGTTGGAATTGAAGTAAGGAAGAAAGGAGAGACAATGGCTGCTGCTGCTGCTGCTGCTAGCAAAAGGTGAGTATTATTCATTCATAAGACATATTTAGCACGCATAAATACGGGGGTTAGAGAGTTGATCAGTTGATTCGATCTGTTAGTTAGGTCATCTGTGAGCATTGCGTTTTGTTGTTTTTGTTTAATTCAACTTGGTCTTCATTATCTTGTGTTTTTTAGCATTCATATTAATTAGTAAGCAAGCAAACATGCAGTGGTTTTATATCCATGCTCTTCATATTCATTTTGTTGTTGTTATTAATTATTCTTATATATTGCCGTATGAATCCCTAGTCGTTATTTATTTTTCTGAGTGCGAGTTGAATCTAATTGTAGGTTGTAATAGTTGTTTGTTGTTTAATGTTGTGTCCCTAATAATATGTTTTGAATGAATAGCACTGATCAACAACTAATGCAATGCATATTGTCGTAAAAGTAACAGGGTTGAATATTGTTATGTTCATATTCAAACTACAATCAACTTAACTAGCACGTTAGTTTGTTTAAGTAGGGCTCTCTCTGCAAATATCAAAATTATTTATATGAACACAGCTTTATTATCTAATTGAGAGTGCAATGAAACTTGTGAAGCCATCATGGACATTGATCGAGGGCACGCAGCTGCAGAATGGCTGCAAAGTGCGTGCAGGAGGAAGCCAATGCAGTGGCTGCAATAAAAAAAAGATGCTGAATTCGCATTCGACAGAGGTGCAGGAGAAGGCAGATTTGTCGAATACAAAAACAAGTATGGGAAATCAGTCCAGATGGTGCTGGTTGATATAACACAGAGAGGGAGCAGCCGGACGAAGCCTTGGGCTGCTCTGCTAAAATACTGGCTCAGCTCAATGTGTTGAATCAACAATCGACTTTCTTTGATGGAAATAGTTAGTTAGATCATGACTCTGATAGCTAACTAATGCAGTCGTAAATTAAGGACTCTATGTATGTATAACACTGCTATATAGGATAGTGAGATTCTTCGAGTCCCAGTATCATATATGCAATCAATTCCTCGATTTCTCAATGCACATAAAATACAAGAGATAGCAAAAAAGTGTGTAAATTGGCAAATATGAAAAAACAACCAAAACAAACCTTAAATCAGTAAATATGCTGCTGCACAAGTATAAAATCAGCCAAGCTATCTCGTATCACATCCATTATCATTCACTAGTTTCGACTCCCAACATCTCACAACACGAATTTCATATATATTCTTAGAGACATGAAGCTAGTACTCCCGACAACAGCAACATTACTGTAACGGCAAATAAAAAGCAGAAAAAATTGATAACAATGGTATGGAACAACGATGTTAACCTCCATCCACATGAAGCTTTGAGCAAACACACAAGCAGGTTCCAGCAGTGACCTCAAAATGGTCAATAAAGACAGCATCATCTACCTGCTCAGTTTGAAATTCCATGAGTCCAAGACTCTAAGCCTCAGGGAATTATCAATTACTGATTCCTAATATCTGAAAAGTGATTAACACAATGCCATGACTTCATGTAAGGTACCAAGCATCCAAATAGTGCCACAATCTAATCTGAGAATCATGTCACAAACGGAGTACCCCATTCACAACTGCCAAAACCAAAATACTGAGAAACTAGTTTAGAAGAAACTATCATAACAATATATAACATGTAGCTTCTCTTGAAAAATAGCTGTGCCAAGAAGATGTCAGTCGCTTTATATGAATCACGAAAGAAAGATTAGGTCCACACTTACAACGGTCAGTTGAATCACAGTGCATCTTCTAAAGCCTAAATATCATTAGTACGATGGAATGAAAACCCAGATCACAAGGGAGATAAAAGCACCAACTCATTTCATATCATAACATGGCTTCATATTGGGGGCATTTATAATTCACAAACCTTCCGCATAACATTGTATTCAGACATTTCATCTTCCCTTGCTGTGAAGCACATGAGCAAAATGACATCCATAGTGAGTATTTATGCCGGAAATTACTTTCAATGAAGAACGTTGGAAACAAGCCACAATTAATTGAATAAAATAAGATTCATAAGACACATCACGGGTATGCAGCACACGGAATGGCATCTGTGCCGCCATGTTTAGCTACACCATGATGGGAGAGATGAGATGTAATTACAACCATCATCAGAAAAGCAAGGTATCTGTGATGCACGCACAATATTCTTACACTGATGGACACTAGAAAACAGCGGTCCTAAGAGGAAGCCACGAAATTACTAGCAATTATTACAAAGGAGTTGTAAATATGGGACAACAGGCAAGTATATATGGGAGAAAATAAACTAACGAGAAATGAAAGGTGGCGGCAGGAATCAATAAACCCGTGTCTGATAGACGTAAAACCCCCCGCTGAGTCCTAAGCATCAGCAAAATATCATGAAACGCCAAGGTTGTGATTCACGACTCGTATTCTTGTCACACAAAGGATCCTACACAGAACCGTTGTTTCACGTTCAGAGCGATTTATTGACCATCTTCAATTTCGTAAAAACCTATATGACCACACTTTAATGGCCAAACGTGAATAGATAACAATCGTCACCTGTTGAACCATAATCTCATCGTTTCCCTCGATGCCCGCCCCCTGACCTTGCACCAGGATATCGAGCAAACTGGAGCCTTAAGTTGGAAGAATCGCGGTCATGCTCATCAAATTTATAACCTGCAAGATTCAGCTTGACGTTTATGCTTCCGACTGGCGTTGCTTTGAATCAAGAGGATTAGTTCGATGTTCCCACCCTCATTTCACTATTGTTTCTTCTTAAACTGGACGTTCGCGCAATCAAAACAAAAAGAGCATCGAGTATATCGGATAGAAAGAATGTATCTTTTCGTAAAGGATTAGTTAGAAGTAACATTTGATAGACGGAGTAGGCACATCGCAGAGTAAAAAACGAGGCAATGTAAAGTTCATAATTTATGCAGCTCTTAATTACATTTTATATTTTACATCATTTAATCCTCAAACAGAGATGTCACTAAAATTTTAAGATTGAACGACAATCAGATGATGTTTGAGCAAATATGAATGCTTTATGCAACATAGTTAAATAATTTTGATAAACAATCAGCAATTAGTAAAAAGAGTATGTTTCTTCAAGCTTATTCTAAAGGCAGAGGCATAGCAATATTAATATTGCATCAATAACGCGTGAATAGTGAATCACCGAGAAATGAAAGGCTGATTATCGAAAGTTGTCTGGTAAACAAACATTGATGCACTAACACTGTTGAGTTGAGACGAAAATATACAAAAACTGCAACGGATCGTTATTGGTTTGATGTTCGATTTAGGTAATAAGCCAACCAAATTTGCATCAACAGGTCCACCAAACCATTCTAACTCCAAGAATCTTGAAGACTTGAACACTGTATTCCAATAAATAATCTTCTTGAGAACCAAACGAGGAAAACGGCACGAGGCATATGCATAGTCAAAAGGTAGTTGTGTCGAAATAATCATATGAAATGAATGAAACTACCATAGTAAGAATAAACTTCATATAGATTGTGAAAATAGGTGTTCGGTGTTCAGGCTCACTCAGAAGGCATTAGAGTCATAATCGAACACAAAGGTGGAGGCATCAATGGCATTCCTCTTACAAAAGAACCAGACAATTAAGGAAGATATTATAAACCAAACAGGCCCTAAGTTTATGGTGCTTAGTAGCTGACCGTCCTCACTATTTTCTCAATAACGGTCCTAACTTGAGGTCATATGAATTATATAATAAATAGAACAATTTAATCAAGATACTTATACTCTCCTTTAAAAATTAAACTTCACAACAGTTAGACCTGCAACTCCTAATAAATTAGAAACATACTAAAAAATATTATGCCACTGGGCAACATCTAGAGAAGAAACATTTGATATTTCTATTTTTCCCACCAAGCTCTTAAGAACATTAGGCTGAAAAGAGTTCATAGTTCAACCAACATTGTAGTCAATAGAATCACGCCAAGAATTGATGGGACAACCTTCAATACATTGCAGACCCTAAGCCAAGTCATGGAAAAAGAGGCAGCAGCCTATTTCCCAGAAAAATTGCAAAACAAGGGCCGGTGGAGGTCAGAAATAAGTCGGCTAGGATCAGGCATTTCAAGAATGTAATGGAAGAAGGGTGATGAATCATGTAACAACGTCAGCCCAAACATAAGTATTAAATGGGTAAATAGGCACCCATGCCCAATAGTTTTTAAGGGTAAGAAGAGAAACTCTTAGACCAGATGAAGTTTATTCAATCATAAGATATGAAGAACCTTTTTGTTCTTGGAGATGTCTTGAACACTCGTGTAATAGAAAACTGAAAACGGGGACAATTTTACATTTTACACATTCACAGGACAATAACACTCCTAACCATCTTAAGGAAACAAAGAAGACTAACCCAATGTGCATCTCAGTCACAGCATATAAATATCTAAAGTAAAAATGTGCATTACCCTGCAAAGCATCCATTGCTGTGGCTGCATGCGCTGGACTTTGAAAATCAACAAAGCAAAGCACCAATGGATCACCCCCAGGCTGCAAAAGTTGATTTCAAAGTTCAAACAGTATTCACTTGATTAAAAACAACCATCAAAACATATGGCATTAAACCAAACAAGTGCTTACATGTCTTGATTCTTTAGTCACAAGCCTTACTTCCTTGTAGCCCACAAAAGGGCGAAATATATCTGCACACTTAAGTTAAAGAACAAAACCAGTATAGAACAATGCAAGAACTTAGTGACCAAGGGCACAGCTGGTGCATGGTATGTAACAGAGATAGTTTAGAGACACGAGCCTCCATCTTCTATACTATGAATTTAGCTTTACTAAGCACCCTTGTGGTGCATGCTTTGAGCACCTAATATTTGTAGTTAAATAATCATAACTTGAGAATTGTTTTTATTAGTTATTACTATATAAAATTTGTGTATATTGTTACAGGACTAACTATAACACACAATCCTGTTCTGATCTTTGATATGATGCACATCTTTCCATGCATCAAGCATCATGGCTCTAAGGTCTTTGCACCATGGCATGCCATATGCCATTAGCAACTATGTGAAAGAAAAAATTATAATACCGAAAGGATACGAGAAACATCCCTGCGAGTGCAGTTTGCAGGCAAGCCTTCCACAAATAGTGTGCTGCTGGCATCAGGAGGCAGTGGACGTTCAGGAGGGAGTGATCATATTCTTACAAGTCGAGGCAGTACTACAACCGATTAGGTCGCGTATGGAAGAGAAGCTACTTGCTATACGGTCCCCCAGGCACCGGCAAATCAACCTTCATATCTGCCATGGCCAAGCTTCTCGGCTACGACATCTACGAAATCAACCTGCACAAAGTGCAGAGCGACGCCGACCTCGAGTACCTCCTCCTCCAAACCACAACCAAATCGGTGCTAGTAATCGAGGATCTAGACCGTTACCTGGACGCAAAATCCACAACAACGACAGTGAGCACATCAGGAATCCTCAACTTTATGGACGGAATCTTCTCCTGCTGCGGAGAAGAGCGGGTGACGGTATTCACCATGAACAGCAAAGAAAACGTGTGCGCGTCGGTGCTCCGGCCGGGGAGAATCGACGTCCACATCAACTTCCCACTCTGCGATTTCAGCGCCTTCAAAACCCTCGCCGGCAGCCATCTCGGCGTGAAGGAGCACAAACTGTTCCCCCAAGTGGAAGAAATGTTCCAAACCGGGGCGACCCTAAGCCCCGCCGAGATTTGGGAGATAATGATATCGAATCGGGCCTCCCCGACCCGCGCCCTGAAAACGGTAATCACCGGGATGCAGGGTAACCTCGCCTCCCGGGTGGGTCGGAGGCTGCTAAGTGGATCCGGGTCGGGTCGAGGCTCAGGCGATGAGGAGCCGCCGGAGGAACCGCACGCCGGCACCGGCAATGGAATTCATCCCATGACAGCGATAAAGAATCTGTACGGACTGTTCAGTGCAAGGAGCGGGAGGAAGGCATCAATGGACAAATTCGACGTCGTCGTCGTCGACCCCAGCGAGAAAGAGAATAGTAGTAATCATAATAATAGTAATTCAGCCTCAAACCATTGATAGTGATGATGACAGATCAAGATTCGATTCAATTCCATTCTTCTTCTTCTTCTTCTTCTTATCCATGCAATGCAAGACAAGACGAGATCATTTGAATTGTACTATATATTACCTTACATACGATATATTTTTATATAGTATTTGGCTACCTCTAAATTTGTATTGTCCTCTAAATTTGTATTGCATCTACTTCAACATAATATAAGGATAGATTTTGTGTACATTTTCCTTTTTTTTCTTTTTGAGATTTTCCATATATATATATATATATATTTCTTTATTTGAGAGTTAAATTATACGCACCGCAATATCTATTTGATCGTGGCGATCCTTTCAGCGGAGGTAATCGCATTTTCCGTCGCCGGCACCGATCTCTGCTCTTCCCTCTCTCTTTATCTTGAAAATAATACTATTAATTAAAAAAAATCCCTGAATTGAACCTTGTACTGATATTTTTACTGCTGTTTTTACTGATTTGAATACTACGGAGTTATTTTTATTAGGGTTTTGAATTTGCGCCGAGTCTATTCGAAGTAAATTATATTGTGATTGGGGATACTGGGTTTTTTTTTTTTTTGTTCCGATTAGGTCTTTGTTATTAGTTTGGTTTGTTGGGGATTGTAACCGAGATTTGTTGCAGGTGATTACATAGCGGTTTCGGACAGAATTAGGGTGAAGGGATGGTAGATTTTTCTATTTGTTTCCTCTTGTTCCCTGTCTCTTCTGTTTTAATCGTCATGTTTTAGTCAGAGTGGAGTTGATTGTCACTTCTTCTTGCAGAATTATTTACTTGGAGCTTTTAAGCCGACATGCAACATTTCAATTGCATTCTTGGATGGGAAAACTCGAAAGCAGGTTTGTCTGTCTTCCCCTTTTATAATTGTTAGAACTTTCAAATACATGTTTGGTAGGACTCCAACGTAATGTATTTATGTCTATTTTTTATTTTAACATTTTTATATATGGCTTATTATTATAATATATTAATTTTATTGAAAGGATTCAAGTATGAATTTTATTGAAGCAATAGCATAAATCCACGCGCCCAACACTCTACTTTTTCTTCGGGACTATCATTATCGATTTGAAACTCAGCACTCTTCAAATGATCTTCTAAAGTATAGTGCAAAATCCATGTCCATGCTTGAAATATTATGGGTCAAAAGACAATTGTAACAAATTCATACAAATCTTTGAAGAGTGCTCTATGATCTGTTAAGATGTGGCATCACTGACAATAGGTTTACCATCGAGGGATAACTGATATATCATAGCAACATCTTATAATGTAATTGTTGCCTCGCCAAATGTGAAATGAAATGCGTGTGTTTCAGGACGCCATCGCTCAACTAATGTTGTCAAAAGACCAGGATCATGTCTAACATGTCCAACTTATATACGCCATAAAATTCAATACGATTTAATATCTCGAGGACCCTAGGATGACATAATTTAGATATACTAGTCCAATATCTTTCCGGACAAACAAGACTAAACTTATGATCGGTTAATTCAGCATTCCAAATATGCTCAGAATGGTGTGTAGATTGAAGATGAAGTAGACAATCGTCACTGGGGCCAGACAATCCCTCCCGATATGAAAACATCACAAAACACTGACGACATTCCAAATTAAACATATATGTTAAAAATATGAGTGGTTTTAATTTAGTATATATATAAATATGAATAATGCTTATATTGAAATCCATAGCCTATTATGTTAAAACAAATAAAGCCCTTGAACACAAATATAAATTCCTACAACTTATATTAACTCTATCAGAACACTTCCAAACTATATTCAAACATAACACTTCCAAACTACATTCAAATATAACACTTGAATCTTATTTTCTAGTTTTGTTGTTTAGCTTAAAGCCTATGATTCTCTTTTTTAAATGCTTCTGAACTACTGCAGTGAACTTGAAATTTTCCTCCATTGTCATCTGTTTTGATCTTTCTTTCAAATCGAAATATATTTTCCCTCACTTGTATAATGCTCATTCATAAGCAAGCAACTATATGAGTTTTTCACACACATCCTATTCATACCAAAAACTAATGAAATCAAAGGCTTATGTATCCCTGTACCAACTGATGCACTAACCTTTGGATATCTGTAGATGCCCAGTAGATGCCAATAGATGTCCACTCTTGAATATCTATAAATCATCAAAAATTAATTACAAAAAACTAATTATAAATCATGAATAAAAGAACTGCCATAAACTCGAGCAAATTCATTCACATAAGATGGTATAAACATAAATATGACAATAGAATATGCAATATTACAAAAATTAGAAAAAATATATATGCCATAAAAAAATTAAATATGATAAATAAAAATTCTGAAAATTATATGATTATAGAATAAGAAATAGTAAAAAATAAAAAATAAATAAAAATAATAAGATAATACCTTATGAATCTGGATTGAAGCAACTTTCAAACTTTTCCAAAAATCCAATAGGAAATTAGGGATATAAAAAGATGTGCTGATTTTAAAGAAAAGAGAAGTGCGACTCGACAAATTTATATGTTAACAAACAAAATACAAAAATTACAATATCTGCCAACCAATATTTTCCAAACCAACAATCAAACAAAATAGAATGAAAGAGAAATTTTTTTGAAAATCAATTACCATAGAAGAGCGGCACCAGCGGCAATAGTAGAGATTGGCAAAAGAAAATCGCAGAAAACCCCTAAAGCATCGCACAGAAGAAAACGTCGAAGGAGATTTAGGGTTTAATGATATTTATTCTTATTTTTAATAAAAATATTTGTAGTAGTTTTTAAAAATACTATATTTAATAATTTAAAAGTTTTAAAAACTTCTAAACTTAAAAATTTAGAAGTTTTGAAAACTACTACAATATATAAATATAGTAGTTTTGAAAACTCGTTTGAAAGCTATAATTTTAAGTAGCAGTTTGACTTAGGCCATTTTTTGAAAAAGCCCCTGTACCAGCACAATAGGCAAAACTGCTTATATCTCCCATGTTGATTTGGAAAGTCGGTGCCGTTTCCCCCTGTACTTAAAAAACGGCGTAGTACCCCTTTGTGTTTTCAAAAACCTTGCGTCTAACCCCCCAACAACAAAAGTTAACGGAAGGTAGAATACACGCGTGGAGTAAGCGAGTAGACTTGCTGTTGCTTATCTTAAACTACCCAAATTCCCTAATTTACCCTTCCACTCCCATTAAGTACAACCATTCTCTATCAATCGATCTAACACAACCAAAGCAAACCCAAAACACCCCAAATCCCCTCCTCGACGTTGGTCAACCACTGATTTCCGATTTCCAGGTAGGTGTTTGCAAAATAGATGTGATGTTTTCGTTTCCACCTTCTTCCTTGGCTTCGTTTCCCTTAATTTTTTTTTCATGTATTTTTTTACATTAGAATATGTCCACCCCACCCTCAAACACTATCTAACAGCAATTAGACAAAAAAAAAAAAAAATCAATTAACATAATCAATTAATTTCGTAATTGGACGTAATATGAGAAAAACGCCAAAAAGCCCTAGCCCTAACACAAAAGTCATACAAAATCGATCGAACTCGGTGACTTACAAGAATTTGGGTTCGTTGCTACCCTTTTCTATGAAAAATCGATGAACTTTTTTATGAGAACCCCGCCGTTGGATCAGTGTTCAAACCTGTAATCGATTTTCTCGTGGGTGGAAGAAGAACTTCGAGTCGGGCATAGCGATGGTGGAGAGGTGTGGGTGGAGAGGGATAGGAGAGAAGCGAGGGAGAGAGAAGCGATGAAGGAGTGTTAAGTGAGTTATTTAAAGGAATGGTATAACGGTCCATTACAAAAGATATTTAACGTCGTTAGGTCAAACTGATCAAACTGATCCTTACTAGCCCGCCAACCAATCAATTGCATTTGTCCAATTTTAATTATGTAGTTGTTATAGTAATTTTTTTTCAATCATAACTCTATTTTTCACTATTATTCTTTAAATATTTATTTTTTCTATTATTTTAAATAATTTTATATTTTTATAATTTAAAATAATTTTTTTTAAAATTTAGAAAAATAAAAAATAAATTTAAAAATTAAAATTTAAAATTTAATAATTATATATAAAAACAGAAGCAACGCCAAAATTGCACTGTAGCAACGCAAAAAAATGACGAACGAACCAACGCCAAATCTATCAACCCAGCGCCAGGGTTGAAGATGGCTTAAGTACACAATATATACTAGTGTTTGTCTTGGGGTTTGTATTTTTAATTGAAATTTAAGTAAAAATGTTAAACTGAAATAATAGAACAATGTCATATAAATATGTGTTTATTTAGTAATTTTGGAAGAGAATTACAGGGGAACACACCCTATAATAATAGTGTGTTTGTTTGGAAGTTTGAATTTTGAATTGAGGTTTGAATAGTAAAAATTTTGAATATGAATAATTGTATGATGCGATATAAATATGTGAAAAAAAAATTAATTGAATAGTAAAGTTTGGGAAAATCACCTGAACAAACACACCCTTACAAGAAAAATGGCAGGCATGCCCTCACATTGAAAATTGTTGTGATAATAGTATAGGATTAGCCAATAGAAATATTAATTACTTCTACCGCTAACCACTATTTTATATATTGTATATAATATTATATAATATTATGTAGAATATATATATATATATAGAAGTGTGTGGCTTGTATATATAATAATACATATATATAGTATATTTTGTGTGTATATATTATGTATGTATTAAGTATCCAATATGTTAAGCATATGAGAGAGTGAATAGAGATGAGGGACGTTGATTAGGTGGAGTGAATGAAAGTAGCATTTGATTTCATCCATTCACCCTATATTTATATTACAAGTTAGAGTAAGAAAAAGGATTTCCTTGAGCCACGTAGCATCCACGATTTGTACACAAAAATACTACGTGTACAACACTCTCCATTTGATGTTTTTATACAAAGAATGTGCATCGTTAAAACCTTAGTAGGAAAAAAATCCAGTGGGACAAAAAAAATCTTAGCGAAGAAAAAAGAGTACAACATTCTTATATCAGTTTGCTCCCCCTGATCTGAGCATTATTTGAGA